AGAGCACCCCTAACAGGGTCATGACACTGCAATGCACCCCTAGCTTCAGCCAGCCCCTGATCATGGCTGAGCATGTGCCTGGTATAGTCAGGGAGGGCTCCAGAATTGAATCAAGAACTTCCCATGTGGGCTTGCCTCACAGAGCACCAGGTTTTACTGCTGCGTCCCCGTCAGGCTCCCCTGCAACCTTAAGACATGTTCCATCCAACATTGAAGGGAGGACAGGACAAAGAAAGTCCACGGAAAGGAAGCCCCTATGGTGTTCGTGGCACCACACGCAATTACACTACCTCAAGAATGAGATCTTTGCAAAAGTTCTCCAAATCATAAAACATCACCCCCATTTTCTACTTGTGGAAACTGAGGCTTTTGAGAGGTGAGGTGACCAGCCTGTCATACACTGGCGTCAGAGCCAGGATTTGGATCCTGCTCTGCTAATTTAAGCCCAATCCTGTTCTATCCCTGGATGGCTTGAGCCTGGGAAGAACCTCGGGAGAAACCCAACTGAATCTCTGTCCCCAGCCAAAGGCTGATGGTCAGGCTCAGGAGTGAGGGCTGTCACTCAGGACCACGTCAGAGCCAGTTTACAACGAAACCTGTTGTTTTCAGTGACAGAAACAGAGGAACAGTTTCCAACTACAGTCGCTCTTGAAGTAAAAATATTCCATGGAAACAGATCCCTGGGAACTCTGTCACCAGAGGAGGCTTGACGTGGGATGTACAGTTTTGTATTCTAAGGTAATTCTATGAGTCTCCCAGACTCCTGTTGAATGCCGGCCCTGAGTCAGAGGAGGAGCTGGGGCCAGAGGTTTCTGTTCTCACTACGGCCCCGGGCAGGCCTCCAAGGGGTAATGTCCAGCCAACCGGGGGCTCTGCGTGTGTCTAATTTGTTGGAGGTTATAAGAAGGCCCAGAGATCACGGCCCAGGCCTGAGGGAGGTGAGGCACTGCTACCCTTAGATTTACCCTGAGCCCTGCTCCCCGGGGTTCTAGTCGAAGTGTAGACACCGAGTCCATAGAACTAGGTGATGGGGATGGGCCACTGAGGATGCAACTAGGGTTGCCAGGACTTTTTTTTCCTGTCAGATTTCACTGTTACATGTAGCTGTGAATTCGAGGATCGTGAGCAGCAGGACCTGAACGGCCTCCAAGCATGATTCCATACTGGCCTAGGGACAGGGGCGCCAGGTTGCAGGTCCCTGAGACCTGCTGGGAGAACCTTCCCAGCATCATCCTTTGTTTTTCTTTGCCACAGGGCACATGTGCTCACCAGAGAGAGAGGGAAAGTGAGAAATCACCCTCCAGGGCAGAAGGCCCCACCACAACCCCTTCTCCTCCACTCTCAGGATTTTGGACACGCACCTACACACGCCTGGTGTGATTTTCAAGCTGCCAGTCAGATGGGAATCATGGAGTCGGCTGTGGGGGATCCAGTGCCTTAACCTCCACGCCACCTGCTGGTCTCCCAGCATCATTCTTCATCAAGCTTTCTCTTATTTCTCAGCCTAGATACCTGAGAAATCCTAGAACTGGTGGACCTCAGAGAGCTAGTGCTGAACGAAGCAATGGGCTAGGAGGCCTGCAGTGGGAGCTAAGGGTTCCTCTTCACTTGCGTGCTACAGGAGCTTAGGCAACTCACCCCAAGTCTCTAGATTTGGTCTCCTCTGGATGGTGGAGGAAACCCAAGGGGCCTTCGGAAAGTTCGTGGAGTTGTGGGTCAGGACAGAGCACATCCTGCCTGCTTCTCACTGAAGTTTCTTGGCAAAGGCTGACAGCTAAACCAGGAAAAATGACCCAGAGCCCCTTCACTACATGGTAAGGCCCTCGGAGCGCAGCAAGGCTTGTGAGCAGGGGCTCACGTGGGATCTGCAGGACTTCTTCTGCCTAGCAGGAGAAGGTATATCGGTGCCCAGCACCTGGGCCTGCCCTCATCTGGATTTGTGTGGCTCTTGTGGAGTAAAAGAGAGCCTGAAGCATATCACTCTTGCTTATTCCTCTCCTTGGAGGTAGCCCATTGTGCAGATGGAGGAACTGAGGCTCACAGAGGAGCAGCTGCTTGCTCTAGCTGACCCAGCTCACAGAGGCAGAGCTGGGGTTGAACCACCCAGGTAGCCTGGTCTCTAGAAATGAAATGAGGGCATACTAGGGGCCATGTTGCCACAGGTGCATTCGGTGGGCATCTCTGTGCTGCGCTGGATGCAGAGTAAGGAGTGTGGAGGCCTCGAGCTGCGCGGCGTGTGTGCTTTGTGTGTGCACAGTTGGCTGTGTATGGGGGTGCCTGTGTGACCACGCATGTGCGTGCCTGCACCTGGTCCCTCCTCCCCAGGTGGTATGGCTGGGGGCCGCTCTCCCTCCTGAGAGGAGTCTGCAGATGGAGCCAAACCACAGCTTGGGCCCCCGGGGGTTTGATCTTCCCTCTGCTGCCAGAGATGAGAGAGGTCTAAGTGGCAGAGATTTACAGAGCCTGAGGGAGAAATACCCTTCCAGTGAGAAGCTCACATGAAAAGCTCCGGAGTAATAACTGAGGCTGCAAAGCGTGCCAATTATGCAACAATGAAAAGGTTTGACTATCATTTCTTTCCCCCTTTATTCTCCCAGCCACCTCCCACCCCCAATCTGGCTCCCCAGCAAATGCTTTGGGGGATAGAGGATAAAGAACACACTTTTCCCCTTTTTAATTGGAGATCAAAAGTTGGAAGAAGGACTTACCCTCAAGGGTGAGGAAGAAAGGGGTGTGCTGTTGAGAAGGAGGCCCTCAGCGAGGGACTAGGGAAGAAGAAAGGGCAGGCATGTCCTTAGCAGAGCTTGCCGGGCTCCGTAAGAACTGCATACGCATCACCTCGTGTAATCCACACACCCACCCGCAAACTCATTAGGATTAGGGGGCTATGTAGCGCATTAGAGAACTGAGACTCATGGGGTCAAAGGCCTTGGCCAGGGTCACACAGCTGACAGGACTGGCATTCTCCCCTGGCTGTCTGACACCAAGGACTTTGTCACCAGGCTATGCCGCCTCCACGCTGTAAAGCGAGGGAGCATTTTCTTCATCTCGGCCTTGGCTTTCCCATCTGTGAAGCGGGTGCAGGCCCCAGGCTTAGAGATAGAACCAAACACTCCTGCAGATGAAAGGCTTGGTGGGCCCATGGCGGCAGGCTCGCTCTGTACCCCAGCCAGCACTGGCTGAGCCCAGCACCCCGTGCAGCAATCCTGGGGCTAATTGAGAAAGAATTAGGCAGCGTGCCCCGAAAGTGAAGAAACAGCTGCTAGTCGGCTTTTTAGAGGTGCCAACCCACACCCAGTATGCGTGCCCCCTCCTGACCTGACTCCCCAGCAGAACTAACAGCCAGCACACTCCAGGGCTGGGACTGGGGCCGCTGCCGTGGGACTCCCTCCTGCCGATCTGCAGCTCCGAACACTTGCCCACATGCTCTTGTGTCTCCCCGGAAGGGTGACTGGGGGGCCAGGGCTGTCCCAGGGTAATGGCACCTCCAGGATCCCCCAAACTCCTAGCACATAGTGGGCTCAGCCCAGATGACAGACAACAGCAGGCCACTACACCGGGGGCGTTCTCGTGCGTTTTCCTGTTACCACACCAGAGAGCTGCTCTGTTGAGAGAGTCCTCTGGGTGGCCACGCCACCTCCCTGGACGTCAGTTATCTCAGTGTTGGTGGACTTGTCCAGCTGTCTATGACACTCACGGCCTGTGACCAAGTCACACACAGGGAAGGGAGAGGTTTCCTCGTTCCCGGCTCAAGTCTAGGGCACGTTTTCCCTCCCCACTCCTCTGCACCCGGTCAGCTGAAGGGTGAGGATGGCCGCTGAGCTGGGACATCTCCCCTGCTTCAGGCTGAGCCTAAGACAGCAGCCAGGCCTCTGGTCTCCCGCCCACAGGAAAGAGGAGTGGGGCTTTGGTCTGGGCCTCCTCCCTCCTTTCCCTGCACCACCACAAATGCCCCCTTGGGATAGACTTTGCTGAGTGGCTTCCCCTACACATTGCTCTCCAGGCCACAACCCCCGCCCGGCTTTTTCTCTTCTGCTGCTTTGGATTCTTGAACACCCTTCACTGAGGAGCCGTGCTCGAGGATGCTTGGGGGGGGGGGTGTCAGGTGGAGAGTGGGAGTTATAACTGTAGAAGGAGATCTAGGGGGGCGGGAGCGAGAGAAACAGTAACGATCCCCTGAAACTGTGAACGCTGCCCCACTCCCAGGAGCCTACCCTGGGTGACCTGGGGGTCCTTTTCTCCCCAGGCCCCATCCCAGGCCTGTGTTAGGTGGCCATGGCAGCTGTCACCCTATGGGAGCTGAAGCACCCCTGCTGGCACAGTGGCCACACTTAGAGCGCCCAGCCAGTTATTTGCTCAAGTGGGGCCCACTCCGCCCTCTCTGCAGGGGCTGGCAGGACTCCAGAGGGAATAATGGGGGGTCAGGGTGCATTCTGACCTTCGCTGAATTCCAGGATGATGATGTGTGAATAATATGGCTTTTTAAGAGTCAGCGGCTTGGGTGCTTTTTATAGTGTGGCTGGAACGCTGCGTGGCCATCTCCCCATTAATCACGCAGCTGGTCAGAGCGGCCGGCAAGGGGGCTGGCATTACTCTGGGGCATGACTTCCTCCTATCAGCAGCACCCCTCAGACTCACAACTGCACCCATGCCTTTAGTCCCCAGCTTAACATCCTCGGTCTTCCAATTTCTTGTCGTTCCTGTTTCTGACTGGAATTTTCATTGCCTGATGTTCTCTGCAGCAGGGGTCTTAGGTCCCCACTCCCTGGGCCAGTCTGAACTCCCAAGGGCACATTCTACCCACCTGGAGGAGGAGAATTCATTCTGAGTGACATTCTAGAGAAAGTGCCAGGGCGAGGTGTGGGGGTGAGCAAGCCTGGGGCCAGATCCCAGCATCCCTGAGCTGCGGGCGGGCCCTTGCCGCAGTCCAGGCCCCACACCCCAGGACTCCAGCTTTCACGGCCACTCAGGACAGAGCTTGGCATGACCCCAGCACTCACAGCGTCTCCAGGTTGTGCAGCCCCTCAAAGCTGTGGGTCCCCAGGTGCTGGATGCGGTTGTTATGCAGATGTCTGTGTGAGGAGGAGAGACACGTCAGAATAGGCACCAGCAGCCACAGGCCAGGGACAGCAGGGCACGGGGTGGTGGGAGCAAGGGAGTGGAGGCGGAAGCATGGGCAGAATGACCCCTTGTGGTCCCGCCCTTTGCGTCTAGGAACAGCCGACTGACCAAGGCCAACTGCCGAAGCCACAGGCTCCAAGGTCACACGTTACAGGCTACCCCATTCTGATGTCCTACTCGAGGAAACGGGGCAAGGGGAGCCCCAGGCCAGGGTGAGGGCAATCATCCACTGAGCTCTAGGAGAGAGGCCTTAGGTCACAGGGCTCGAGTGTGAGGCTTCTTCTAGGACCCTGCTCTCTAGGGCCCAGCCTGCCTGACTCAGTGGCCAGACATACTTAGGGGAGCCAGCAGCAAACCGCTGCAGACAACATGTAATTAGAGGTTAAGACTCTGTTACAGCTGGAGAGAGCGTAGACAAGCTTAGAGAACAGGGAGACTGGCGAGGCTGGAGGAGTCAGGAAGGCTTCATAGAAATGGTGATCCAGAGCAGGGCCTCAAGGGACAGACAGGTGAACTGAGCAAGCACCAGAAAGCGCGTTTCAGGCAGGGGCGAGGCAGGATGGGGGAGAATGAGCGTGGTGTGTCTGCACAGGACGGTGAAGGGCTGGTCAGAGCAGCTGGGGCTGGGGAGCAGTAGCACATCCGCTTGGAAGAGATGGCCAAGGTACATAGTTCATTGAAAATAAGTGACGGAATTTTCTTCTCCCGATTCCCAATGAACAAAAACCAGATGCCCACCACCACCCCAAATATCACAGGTAGCAGCAAAGCCAGGAAGGTGACACAGCCCAACATAAATACACTGCAAAACAAACGGCCAAGACACTCCCAATCAGCCCCCATTCTACAGAAACTGAGCTGGCAAGGAAACGAATTTCTGAGAATTCTCCCCCAAATCCTCAATATGAAGAAAAGTAACTATGGGGTATCCTCCTCCCCCACACTCTGGCCTCTTAAAGGAACAGGTGAAAGGGAAAATAAAATAAAGGCTCCCACCACACACTATTGAGGAAATGACTGGAAGCCCAAGGGTGTTCTTGGTTGGAGGGAGGAAGTGTCCATTTCACCCGATCTCAGCGACACAAGAGGGCCCAAACCACGCAGCTGTAACACCTGGACAGAGCTTGTAGGGGACCGTGGAAACAAACAGGGAAACAGAGGCAGAGGAAGCGAGGGGATGGGGAAAGCAGACAAAGCTCCGAGCCTAGAAAACAAAAAAAATTTTAAATAAAAACCTAAAATAAAAATAATAAAACTAACAAATGAGGAACAGAAGACACTCGGTCACATTTGCCTTCTGCTCTAGAACAATCTATGTTCTATATAAATGGAAGGAAAGGTAAGTTTGCAGACCAAGGAACCCGAGGCCCAACAGTACAGCCCTGAAAGGCTCAGCAATAAATCTGAAACAAGGGACAGCGTGGATGCTGCTGAAAACGGAACTGGTGTCAAAGGAAAAGCTGGCGGTGATTACGGTGAGTGTGGTGGAATGAGACCAAAAGGCTAACGCAGAGACGGACTGGTGCTGAGGCATGAAGGTGATCCAGTGTGAGGGGAATTAACGTCAGGATCCGACCGAGACTGGAGACGGAGTCAAAGACAGAATACAAAACCTCTCTAAGATGAAGACAGAGTAGAATCCGCAGCTCAAAGGCATACATTGTTCTAGGATAATTGGATGCAGAATATTCTACGCTGTGATATATTCTAGCTAAGCCATGCAAGTTCAGGAATTTAAAAACATCTTTAGGCAGAAAGAAGAAAATCACTGACAAGGGGGAAAATCAGTTTGGCCTCCAGGATGTCGTCCATCACAAGGCACCAGCGGGCAGGTCTCATCCCACAGAGTGGTCAGGGCTAGGAGCCCTGCAAGCTTGGGATTTCAAGCCCTCGCTGTCACCCCTACCCTTGCCCACCTACTTCATCAGTTTCCAGAAGGAAAGACAGACCCCTGCCCTCAGGGAGCTCTGACCCTGCTTTCTGGGAGCAAACGATCTTCTCTTACCAAAGGATTTATGCAACTGTCACCAAACTCTTTTATTCTTCCTGTCAACTGTTGAACTCCTGTCTCCATTCCCCCCTTACTTTTTTTTTTTTTTTTTTTTTTTGAGAGAATTTTGCTATAGGGCACATGCGCTCTCTCCAGAAAGACAGAGAGACAGAAAGCGAGAAATCACCCCGGGGGGGGGGGGGGGGGGGGGGGCCCAGTGACACCC